AATTATGAAAATTTTATTTTATTGTTTACAATTGTTAAATTATCAATTGCAAATGTCAAAATGACATGACATGATGACAAACCATGTCAACCTTGCTTTCTTAATGTTGGCAGCTTGTAGTTTATGGTTCCTTTCACAGATAAAGGTTTTTTCTAATTTATTTGTCCCTTAAGTTTAATAGCGTAAAATGTATAGCCTAAAGGGTGTCGTAAGTGTAGGGCTTTTTATTAAAGAAAGAATTATTGAAAATATGCTTTGATTGCTGACATCCTACGCCACAAAGTAGTGTAAACGCTTTATTATATTGGTATAGATTTATTAACATTACGATTGTTCCTGTCGCAGAACTGGTGAATGACAGCAACGTGCAGTTCCTGGACCAGGATGACGACGACGATCCCGACACCGAGTTGTATCTCACGCAGCCCTTCGCCTGCGGTACTGCCTTCGCCGTCAGCGTCCTCGACTCCCTCATGTCCACTGTGAGATATACCAATATTAGTAACATTACCACTTTCTGTACGGTTCATTGTGGTTAATACACGCAATAAAAAAAACAAAAGGAAATTGCATAAAAAGTATATAATCTTCAGCAATGAAGGCTTTATCTATACTAATATTACTAGCTGTTGCTCGGAACTTCGTCCGCCTAAAATTAAAAAAATAATAAAAAATATAACCATGACCCAATTCCAATTTCAAAAATTCTTTCAACATTACAAAGCATAGGCTACATTTTTTAATTTCATGCGGACAAAGTCGCGAGCAACAGCTAGTCACACACACGCGTACATTGTTACTTCCAGACGTACTTCAACCAGAACGCGCTGACGCTGATCCGGTCGCTGATCACGGGCGGCGCCACGCCCGAGCTGGAGCTGATCCTGGCGGAGGGCGCGGGGCTGCGCGGCGGGTACTCCACGCCGGAGAGCCTCGCCAACAGGTAATACCCTACGGGAGAATAGAAAACTAAGAGCCTCATACCGGCTGATAAAGGCTCAGATAGCTTAAAATGATGTCACTGTATATAATAACAAAATCCGATATTTCCATCACATTTTACACGTTGAATTGTTATTAGACAATTTACAATTTGATGGCACAGGTCATAATTATTATCCATATCTATCTGTCTAATTATACTATTATAATAAAGCGTAAACACACCATTCTTTGTTGCCTAAGATGTCAGCAAATATAGCATATTTTTCACTAACTTTTTTTTTAATAAAAACCCAACACTTACGTCTTGCCTTAGGCTATATATTTTAACGTTATTAAACTTAAGGGGTTAATATTTTGGATAAAAACTCTAATGTGGGAAAGTGACCATAAGTTGCTGCCAACATCAAGGAAGCAAGGTTGTCATCATATCATGTCATTTTGACATTTGTAATTAATTAATTGACAAATGTTAACAATAAAATAAAATATATATATATATGATAAAGTTAATACTAAAGCGTAAACTCACTACTTGATGGCGTAGGATGTCAACAATCACAGCATATTTTTAAATATCTCTTTTTTTAAAGAACCCTACACTTACAACACGCTTTAGACTATAGATTTTCACGCTTAAACTTAAGGGATAAATAATTTGGAGAAAAACATTAATATGCGAAAGGGACCATAAACTACATTTATTAGTGTAATAGTTAAAATTGTCCCAGTAGTTTTTGAGTTATTTCAATACATACAAAAATACAAATCTTTCATGTTTATAATATTAGTATAGACAAGAGAATGTCCTGCCTCCTGAAACAGTTATAATTAGTTCATTAGACAGAACCCCGATGAATTTGGTCATATTTTTTTTCAATAAAGAGTATTTTTTTTTCATATAATTGAAGATGTACATGTACATAGGAACTGTACTCGTATGTGGCAGGGACCGCTGCCGCGTGGGGCAGATCTCGCTGTACGACGGGCCGCTGGCGCAGTTCGGCGAGGAGGGCAAGTACGGGGACCTGTTCGTGGCGGCGCTGCGCACCTACGGCATGCTCTGCATCGGCCTCTACCGCTTCAGAGACACCTCCTCCAGCTCCGACGCCAGCAGCAAGCGCTACGTCATCACCAACCCTCCAGACGACTTCTGCTTGCTGCACACTGATCAGGTACGTAGCCCAGTGACATCATCATCATCACCAGCTCGCTAATCGCCCCACAGAGCTCTGATCCTACTATATGTTAGGGTGACTAGGCCATATTCAACCACGGTTGACGTCACACATGTCTTTGTATTTCTTCGCCGATATGCAGGCATCAGGATGTTTCCCTTCATCGTAAGAACATCGGTTAATTCATGTCCAAAAGGTTTAAGGTTTAAAGACTTTTATTCTAAAAAAACATGTACAGTCACTTACATGAGAATATTGCATTTATACATTGCTTGTCGCCGATATTCATTATTATATGAATTTTACAAAAAATAATATATGTTGCGATAACATTGATTTAAATTTATTGAGTGAGTTTCATACGAAATTCTAAAAATTTACGGGGGATTATAAGTCAAGTGCAACCTCTGATCTACCGACCATACTGTATTTACATTTAACCTATGTCATAACTATACGTAACATTTGTAGGTAATCGGTTTCGAGTAATCAAATCAGCCATGTTTTGTTTATAATTAAGTTACCAGTTGTTTATAAGGTAAACCACTAAAAATATTGGGGTAACGAGATTAAAGGCCTGTCTCACCAAATTGCAAATCGTCTGATAATAATCCAACGTGTAAAATATGCGATGGAAATATGGGATTTTGTTCCCTTATCTGACAGTGACGTCATTTTTAAGCTCTCTGAGCCTCTAACAGTCAGTCGGCGGATAGGCCCTTTGGCAAAAGTTACGTGGACCAGAGTAGCGCGAGAAAGGCATTAGTGGAAAATATTGACCGTTCACGACTGATAAACAGATTTGCTGAAAAAAAGCAAAACACGAATACTAGAAGAGTAATTTATAATTTATTTTTAACTTTCATAAACTTTTTATTTTCGATTTTAAACAATCTATACATTTGTAATCTTTTATTTCTATTAACTTTATTGTAACCTGTGTAGAACTGAATTAAAGGATAATTTATTTGTTTATTATTCGTCCGCGTGAAATTAAAAAAAAATAACAAAAAACATATCCTATGTTACTTACTGATAAATTATCTTTCTAACAATGAAAGAATTTTTAAAATCGGCCCAGTAGTTTTTGAGTTGTTTCAACACATATAAATCCAAAAATGCAAATCTTTCCTCTTTATAATATTAGTATAGATAGATATGTTTATATCTTAGTATATTCATAGTATAGATTATTTTATTTTAAGCGGTGTTGTTTATGCGGCAGGTGTTCGTGCTGATGCAGTTCGACCCCGGCGTGGAGTACCGCGCGAGCCGGCGCGCCGGCGCCCCCGCCAAGGACGACGCCTCCTGACTATTGCTGTGCAGCGCCCTCACTGACGGGCCCTACTCCTACATCTAGACCGTAGGGCCCGCCCCACCGACAATCCTACCCAACCCTACCCACGAACCCTTGCAGCCCAACTACGATAAAACACATCAGATTCATTGACAGCATTGCGATGTTTTTAATCGTAGATGTTTTTTTTTTATTTTGTTTGTATTAGATTTGTTACTAGCCCAATGGCTGTCAGACTCGCAGAGCCCAAAAAACTACTTTACCTTCCTCTGTCCATTTCTTTTGCCGCAATTTACAACTATTCTCTCCTGCACCTACAAAACTATTTTATTTTATGTTCTCTGTTAAAATTGGACACTGCACCGCTATTCTGATATTTTTCCTACACAGTTCACTATACTGAGTTTTTGAGTCTTCAAACAAATATTTTACAATTCAAAATATTTAACACGAGAAAAAGCAAGACTACACCAAATTACGCAACATGTACATCTGTGGATACATACAGGATGTTTCGAAACATTTCTGTAAAATTCAAAATTGTAAAATGTAAAATTGTCAAATGTAAAATTAAAAAACGTCACTGTTCAACCATTTCCATATTTTACCTATTATTTATATTACCTGTGTGTATCTGACGGATTACATAAACACTGCACACTGAAAAATCTTTTATGGGTAGGTTGTCCGTTCTTTTACGATGAATCAAAAAAAAATTGAAAAGGATTTTTTCCATCTTTGTGGTAACAAACCTTTTAAACTTTTAATTGCAAGACAGATATTAATTTAAGGTACTGCATTAATCTATGACTTCTTTTTAAAACGTCCATTCCTTATTCTGTAGAATATTTTCACTGTTCATGGTTAAGGATTTTTCTCGAATGCTAAATTTTAGTGAATATAAGCATTTAAATATTCATTGACTGATTGATGTATGGAAAAAATATACATCTTCACTTTAGTATGTGATTAAATTGACATTATTTTTAAGACTCACTTATCTTCATTAGGCTTCATTTATAGCTTAAGTGTTTCTACTTTAAAATCACTTATTACAATTATATTGCACGGTACAGTAGCGGCCTGCACACAGCTCCATTGCCCATGGTGTTGGTAACATTCAATTTGTTTATAATCTGTAAGTCAATTTTGTAGGTTAGATTATCTGTGGCGGATGACATTTATGTTTGTAGTCTATGACAGTTCACATCTGTCACTGCAGCTGCACCCTAAATGTCAAAACTACAGTTT